AAGAAAAATTGTGTATGTTTCTGTTCTGTGTCCTGTGTACTGTTTGTTTGTATATGTGTCTTTCTGGCTGGTGTTACAACCAAATTTCCCCTTGTGGGACAATTAAAGGATTATTCTATTCTATTCTATTCTATTCTATTCTATTCTATTCTATTCTATTCTATTCTATTCTAAACAGCAGAGCCAGTTATACAAAAAATAGTTTAATATCATTGACAAAGACACTGATATGCAGTTAACGCACCCACATTTTACACAGACTTTCAAGCGCAGTCAGAAATATCACAAATATACAAAAACAGCCTGTAAAAGTACACGAGACACCAAACAGTTTCACAGAAGAGCCGACCGCACCTAAAGGCAACCGGGATGGTTTTACTTACAGCTTTCTCAAAGGAGATTTTATGGGGGTCCTTGAAGGCAGCACAAAGACACGACTGCTGCCATATTAAAGGAGCAGTCCCCTCATTTTGATTCCAGCCCTTTAAAGGAAAACACCAATCTGTTTCCAATCAATCCATGGCTAAGAGATGTACACATATACACACAGATCAAAAACCAATCATCTATAATCAATCGTCTGTGCTTGCTGTCAGCTGGAAACCTCACATCTCCGTCTACAATATGAACGTAAACACATTACGAGGTTTTCACATGACAGCAGACTCACACTGGCAGTGTGTTGGTCCAGTTAGAACTGGTTTGTTTTGGCCTAGTCCAGTTTGGTCTGGTCTGGTTTATTTTTTCAGACGCTGAGAGTCTCTCAGTGAGTCTCAGTCCAAGAAGTGACCCAGTGTTTCGGGGACTTCCTGTTTCGACATGAGGAGACCTGGTCCTGGATCAGGAATCCGTCAGCATCCATGTGCTGCTGTTGTAGGTCCTCTTTACCCATAATCCTCCCCTGATGGAGCGCCACCGCCCGCCACACCCCCTGACGCAGAAAGAACCCACACTGCAGAGAAAAAGAGGGATCAGAGACCTTGTATGTCCACAGAGACACGGAGGCAGTGAATAGGTGACACAGGTGAGTTTGCTGGGATAACCAGTGATCTGCTGAAAGGCAGATTCATACTGGTCCTATTTTGGGGTGATTTCCCATAATTCCTTGCATTGACAGCAAACTGAATATTTTTTGGTTTAAGGAGTCTGTCGGGATTTGTGTGTGTGAAATTTGATTTGATTGGCTGCAAAAATCTAGCAGGTGTGGCCACAGACACATTAAAGGGTGAGCCCGCTTAATTTTTTTCTGCCGTTTTCTGTTAATGTGTCTTTTGTGACTCCTTTCAGAATAAAAGCTCCATCAAATCTGCAGAGAAAAGCCAACAAACACAAGCAATCACATTTTTTGCTGAGCTGATCAATCAGAAAAAGTAGAGCAGATGGAAACAGGAGGTTACTGAAAATCAAATGGTCCCTGAGATTATGGATGAAACAGGTTTTATTATGGGAGATGAATTTGTGGGGATGCCGTTATTAGTAAAAACCTAGAATTGATCAAATTTAAGACAAAATTTCAAAGAACCTCAAAGTATCAGTGCTGACTACTTTAAGCAAGTACAAACTTTTTAACTTTGATCTGACTCAGCACTTTTCATAGTCTCAGTAATCAGTTAGTAACCCTTCCACCTCTGGTCCTTACAGCCGGGCTCTCTGGCTGCGGTGCCCCAGCCTCAGAGCTCCTCGGTCAGCCTGTCGTTCTCAGATGGCTGGCTCTTCATCTGGGCCTTCTGGGTCTTTGCCTGGTACAGCTCCCTGGTGCTGGCTCTCCTGAAGAACCCACACTGAACAGCAGGGGGCGAGACACAACACTTTACAGAGATAAAGCTCACGATACAGATGAATGATGAATGGTGATGAGTGGTGATGAGTTGATGCTGCTCTGGAACCTAAAACTGGAACCAGTCTGGCAGTGCAGCAGAACTGGAGCCATCTTTCAGAAGCACTCTTGAGTTTTCAGGGATGGTTTGTAAATCCAGCTCAGGAACAATGATTTCACTGGAATCATTTAAGACTTTTTCTCCCAGTTTCTATGCCAAATGAATAATTTAAAGACTTCCTCTGATCAAAATCATCTTTCAGTTTACACACAAAACACCAGGCAGCTGAAAGTAAGCTGTTATTATAACAATATATGAGTACTGTGGAGACGGGGGATAATATCCACTTGTAAAAAGTTTCCCTGGACTATGACTTTATCTGCTGCATCATTTCTGTATGTTAACACCCGGGTTACCTTCCAGAGCAGCAGACAGATGAGAGCCAGCAGCAGGACACCTGCCAGGGCAGACAACATGATGATCCATAGGGGGGTGCCAGAGTCCACCTGTAGCCCCAGATCTGGATAGATGTAGACCTCAATCTGCAGAGAATACCTCAGAGATTCAGCAGGAAACTACAGCCACATACAGTGAACTGTGAAGGAGGGTGCAATGGTCCTTAGGGGGCACTGGCTGCAATCTGTTACCTGCGAGCTGTGAGACTCCATGTTCACGGTGGGTTTGTTGGTCTGCAGCTTCAGCGATGCCTGACCTTGAACCAAGACACTGCTCGCATCGCTGTAGTCCTGAAACACAACAAGAAGCGATAACTGGCCATGAGAGGATGAAAAAGACAAAAAGTCCTGATATCTGAGCACAGCTGTCTGCAGGTTTGGGGACAGAAATGCTTTCTGAGCTCACAGGATGACATTTTTTGCATTTCAGAGGTCTTAAGAGTTTTCATGCAGTATTTAAATGATAACGAGGGTTAATTTCGACAACACTTTTACACACAGACAAAAAAAAATCTACTTTAAAAAATATAGAGCAAAAGAAACCAAAAATAGAAACTATCAATCTAAATAAAATGTAACAAATAGAATAAAAACCACTTGTCTCTGTAGTTGTGATGCAGACGGTTTTGTCTCTTTAAGCTGTAGTTTTGAATTCTTCTGGTCTCCATCAGAGATGGGCAGTAACAATTCAATTCAATTCAATTTTATTTATATAGCGCCAAATCACAACAAAAGTCGCCTCAAGGCGCTTCATAGATACAGAGAAAAACCCAACAATCATATGACCCCCTATGAGCAAGCACTTTGGCGACAGTGGGAAGGAAAAACTCCC